GTGGGGATGGGTGGCAGTTGTGATGACGACAGTGGTGGGATGGTGGTTGGGTGGCTGGGAATGGGTGGGAATGAAGGTGACAGTAATGGCATGGTGGTTAGTGGTGGGTTGGGGTAGGGTGGCGTGCGGGTGAGGGGCAGTTGTGGCTCAACTCTAATAGGGTTAGCTCAATTGGTAAGGTCTTGGGTTTGCTCCTCAGTGGTCACTAGTTCGAGTCCCATCATGGCCCACTGGAGGTTTGCGTGACTGTTAGCTTTAGGGCCCCATAGGATAGGACTAATGAAGGTGTCAGTTGCAACATAAAAATGTATACTTCTGGGCATTTGGTTCGTCGGAATCCACCGGAATCTGGTGGAATTGGAATGGTCAATTCCGTTGACCAAATTCCATTCCAACGTTTGGTTACCCATGGAATGGAATTGAATTCCAAACATTCCCTCATTTGAGAATTTCACCATTCATTCATAAAAGTGATGGAATTTAAATCCATTCCATCCAAAATTGTGTAAATGACAAAAATACCCTCTTCCAATTTCATCATCTGCTTAACGATTTATGTTTGCTTCCCGTTTGTTCTACTTTATTATTTAAAACACTAACACACACTTGTCTATGTATATGGGTGTGTATATATATGTGTGTATATATATATATATATATATATATTGCTTCCTTAGAGCATGCCTTGGAGAACGTCATAGCCTCGCTGTAACTCATAAGGCTCGAGGCTTGACATCACCACCACGCTACGTCTCATATCATTTAGAACCTTGCTAAAAACTAAATTATAAGGTTTACCTATTCATCATTGAGGGTACAAGTGGTAATTTAAGGGCGGGCATTTCATTTCTAAAAGAAGTGTGATTTAAATATTACCTCCATTGACCGTCTTAACAAGAGCAAAATATAGTTGGTTAGCTCACCGCAGTAGTGTACAACAGAAAAAAGTTGCTTTAAAACTAATGAGGATCTAAGGGGGAATTTCACTCGACTCCTGAAATGATATTGTTCCAGAAATGAAGGATCTACACTGGAAATTATGAGCATCTGAAACATGCATGACATCACATCACTTTTAGTTCTTGATCTAAATGAATATTGGGCCAAACTCTTGCTTCCTGTCATGTTGCCTGTACTTTGAAACAATGAAACTTAAGATTTGTTTTCATCTCTCGTTTGTGTAACATAGAGATGACAGTAGTTTAACATAGACTCTCGGACTTCCGTTTGTGTACTGGCATTCATCTTTCAGATGACAGTAGTTTAACATAGAGATGCAAAAAGAGCCCAAGCCCAAAGCCCGGCCAGGCCTCAAAGCCTGACCAGCCCGAAATTTTGGCTGCATGCCTGGCCTGAAAAAGCCCACCTTGGAAAAGCCTGATTAAGTCGGAAAAAACCTGATTAAACCTGATAAAGCTAGATCAGGCCCCCAAAGCCCGGTCGGTCCAGGCCTAAAAAAGCCCAGTCTTGTGCATATCTAGTTTAACTTTAACATAGTTGTATTCCTTACATTTTACACTTTATGAGGAAGGGGTTGGATGTGGAGAGGTAGTGGATGTGGGTAGAGAGTTAGGCCTCCTGAGTCTTAGGTTAGACTAGGTTGTGTAGTTCTTGCGTTCGTTATGTTTTTTCGTATCTGCTTCTGATTCTATGTTTTGTTTGTCCGTTTGTCTATCTTTTTGAATGTTTTTGCTTACTTATAAATCGTTTTTCAAAATTTAGCTCTGCCCTTTTTTGTTTTCAACTTTTTTTTTGAATGAGCTTTTTACCATTTCGACAATTTCTTTGAGCAATCTCTCTTCTTTTGTGCACAAGCTGGCTCTACTCTGTTAAGTCTGCGTACAACTCACCCCCACACCCCACCTCCATATACTCATATGGTTTGGTTTACACTTTATCACGAAGGGGGTGATCTTTTTTTTTTTTGAACATTTCTTTTGTTCTAACCGTTTGACTTGAATTTTTTTTGATTGAAGACCCTATTTGATTCCTGAATCGGAGAAACAAGGCGTTTGTATATCTCTTGCACACTCTGGCAGTGATGACATTGTTGCTTCATTCCGTCCAAAGATCGAAATGTCAGCTGACATGGCTGTCTCTCCTACTCCTTCCATATCTTCTATGGGAGTCGAGGGTTGTCATATATTCTACAAGAGGAGTGGGAGCCGATGTTATCAGAAAACAGGCTCGTTGCAGGCCCAAGTGGATAGCATACGTCTGCCAAAATCTAGCATCATTAACAAACAAAACCCCATGTTTGTTTCTGCGAATGAGGTAACGTCTGACTTGATCTTGCATGACGTATCCAACCTAACTGTGGTCCAGCGGCTTAAAACTTCAAAGAGCCAGCATATATGGGATGTCAAGTGCACAGGGATTCGGAATTCTTGTGTACTGGGCTGTTTAAGCGGGGACATCGTGCAGCTTTTTACTTGATCCTAAGGTAATTCTTCCGTTTCTTAAACTTGTTTATCTGCTGTAGGGATGTCAAAAAGTCGAAAGTGAATAACCCACAGAATTTGGGTTACTTGGTTTTCGGGTTAAAAGGGTTTGGTTAACCAAACAAGGATAGCCTTATTCAGGTTGGTTTGGTTAGGTTAATATCCATTTTGTAAACCAAATTTTGGGGGAAACAACAAACCTTACTAGAATAAAACCCTTATTTGGTTTAACCGATAACCGAACTGAAGAACCCGAAACCGAGTAAATGAAAGCTTATTCGATTTGGTTATCGGGTAGTGTAGAGAAAGTGGAAAACCGATGAAATAACACCCTAATCTATTGGATAATGTGGTTTTGAGGATATTTTGTCTGAAATTTGAGGTTTTTATTTTATTATATCTGCAGGTAAATCGGGATTAACAAGGCAAGGGTTAGGCTGGTAAATAGAAGAATATATGAATGCATGATCTAAATTAGTTAGTTGGTTGTACTTAAGCAATAAGGTCTTGTATTACTTTTACCAAATTTTGTGGTGGTGGTAACATTATGTTTTTTAGTACTACTCTAATTTAACCCAACTTCTCATTAATAAATGTTTTTTTTTCATATATAACTTTTGACAGCAATGTCAAATTTTACCAAATTTTTTTGCTCTGCCTTTTTAATCTCATGTAACGTTTTTTTTTTTAATTTTTAAACATAACCTAAGGTTGGTATTTTGTTTACAGAATGGAATCTAAATTTATCAAAGGAATTCGAATATGACGAAATTGGAATATGAAGGAATCGGAATAGAATTAATCATGTTTGACCATGTATTTGGTTGGTAGAAATTGGAATAGAATCTATCAAAATTATTTGAATATCATTTTGGTTTGTTAAATACAATAGTGGTGGTGGGATGGAGGCGATAATGATGTTGACAGTAATGGTGGTGGTGGAGGTGAAAGTGGTAATGAGGGTGTTGGTGGTGGTGACAATATCATGGTAACGTATGATAGTTTTTTGAGTGAATTATGCGGCTGGTCCTTGTGGTATGTTTAAATTTTGTATTTGTTTCTTAAAACAAACTATTTATAAGGATGGTTCTAAATTTTCAATTTCATAACTTAAGGTCCCTGGAATTAACATCGTCTGTTAGCAATCGTTAGAAGGGACAAATTGGTCTTTGAGCAAACTACAACGACCAAATGTGTGATTCACTCTAAAATTAATTGTGATTCACTCTAAAATTAATTGTGATTCAAATATATATATATATATATATATATATATATATTTGAGATCATGTGAGACCAAGGGTTCTTCGTGAGACCTGTAAGACCGATTTTCAATTCTTAGATTAGATCTACAATCCGAATATCATAATCACAAAATTGCCATCGTGCAACTTTAGACCATTAAATTATTAGCTTATAAAGTTGATCAATGAACATAAATTGGTCTTACGGGTCTTACGTGAACCCAACCCTATATATATATATATATAGGGAAGAGTTCAAACGAGAACCCCTGTGATTTACGAGAATGCGAGAACAACCCAATAACCACATATTGTGATAAAAAATAAAATTAAAAGATTTTTAAAACTAAAATTGAAATTTAAAAAGATTCAGAAAATATTAAAATTAAAAGGGTAATAATGGAAATGATATCATAAAATCTTTTAATACGATTACACGATCATAATTATCATTATCTAATAAATGCTTAATCATGTGATATGGGTGTGATAATCATGTGATTATCACACAATTATCACATTATCGCTTATATTAACACGATTTGGGTGTGATAATCATGTGATTATCACACAATTATCACATTATCGCTTATATCAACACGATTTGGTGTGATTTGGGTGTGATAATCATGTGATTATCACATTATCGCTTATATCAACACGATTTGGTATGATTTAGGTGTGATAATCATGTGATTATCACACAATTATCACAAGGATTCCGCTCGGCTAGGGTTAACTTAGAAAATCGACTACCGATTCGGTGTGATATATGTGTGATAATCATGTGATATCACTATCATAACAGCGCACTTGATTTGATCATGTTTCGATCGGTTAGGATTAGACGATCACACATTTATCACAACGATTACGGGCGAAATCCACTAAATGATTTGGTGTGATATGGGTGTGATAATCATGTGATATTACTATTATAACATCACTTACGCATTCAATTTGATCATGGTTTCGATCGGTTAGGGTTAGACAATCACACATTTATCACAATGATTACTCATGGTTTCGATAGGTTATGGTTACACTTGATTGATCATGGTTTCGATAGGTTATGGTTACACAATCACACAATTATCACAAGGGGAGAGGAGAGAGGAGAGAGTGGAAAAGAACGTGCAGGAAAAAAAATGGATAATTATGACTAATTAAAATAAAATAAAAATTATAAAATTAATTAATTACATTGCCCTTATTAATTTATTTATATTTAATATAAGTTAATTTATTAATTAAAAAAGTTTGAGGTTATTAGATTGTTCTCGCATTCTCATAAATCACATGGGTTCTCGTTTGAACCTCCACCTATATATATATATATATATATATATA